CCCTGATGATGACCACTGATGTGGAAACCGAGTGACAGTTCTTTAAAAGCGGCACGGGACTGCCGACGAATGCTGCGGATTTTAACGGGTCGGCCTGCCGACTGGAGGTCAGAAAAGATTTTCCTGGAGAACACGAGAGGTAAAACTGGTAGTTAAAAAGAAGAAAACAGTGTTCCAGAAATCGTTTGGGAGCAAACAGCCTTCCACTCGCGTGCGATAGGTCCAAACATGAAAGGCGGCAGCGAAAGCCAAAGCTGATTCTTGGGAGAAGTTCGATGATATGTTGGAGTCGAGTTTCCAGACGACAAACAAAGTATTCTGGCATGGCAGACCACTCGCCGACTTCGAGGTGAAAAGAACAATCTAAGGTTCTTGAAGGGCAGGTCTGTACACCCTCTCACAGAGGATAAGGAGATTATTTGGCGATGGATAGAGAACTTTTAGCAACTCCTTAATCCCGAAGAGCCGCAGGAAGACTCGACAGTAGACCACCAAGGAACGGATATTACTATTTCTGTAGATCAAATTACCCAAGTAGTGAAAAGCCTGAAAAGTGGAAAGGCTGCAGGAATAGATGAAATTTCCCTGAAATATTTAAAACATTAGATGAACAAGGCATGTGCTAGGGAACACGTGTCCGTCAAACTGAAATGGCTACGGGGAAGACACAATCGGACTGGAAAACGAGGACTGATGTACTCCTGTTCAAAAAGGGAGACTGCAGGAATTGTTCCAATTATCGGAGCATTACGCTATTGAGCAAACGCGCTATAAAAGAAGTGCCGCAGAATAACTGACTCCAAGATACAAGAGCAGTGCGGTCCGATAGAAGCACTTCTGACCATATATTTGCCCTGTGCCAGATTGTTCAGAAATCGTGAGAGAACTCCCGTCAAGTGTATGTGTTTTGTTGATCTAGAAAAAGCCTATGATCGGATACCATGCAACAGTCTGTGGTCACTCCTTCGAGCATACGGGATAGACGGCCAGCTGTCTAGGGTCATCCAATCACTGTATTCTGATACCAGGTGCTGCGTCAGAATAAACGATGTTAAGTCGAAACTCTTCAACGATGGCACTGGTCTCCGCCACGGTTGCGTCCTGCTCCCTCTCCTGTTTGTGTTGTACATGGATATAATAGTCAGGGGCAGCCAAAGCGATGACTGTATCGGCGTAGAAAATGTGAAGACAAGAAGGCTGTTGTTTGCAGACGACCTCGTTTTATTGGCATCTTCTGAAACTCCCTAGAAAAGTTCGCAGCCGAGTGCGACGTGACTAGCATGCGTGTGAGCGCATCTAAAACGAAAAGTCTACAGCTTTCTTGATCTCCTGCCCGTTGCTCTCTTCAGATTAACGGAGAGGCAGTGGAGCAGGTGAAGAAGTTCAGGTACCTCGGAGTCGTATTTACCAGTGATGGAAAATTGGAGGAAGAGATTGACCTGCGAATTGGAGTAGCCAGTGACGTTCTGCGTGAACCAGCCCGATCAGCTGTGACTAAAGCAGAGCTCAGTCTGAAATCTAAACCCTTGGTGTTCAAGTCGATCTATATCTCCATGCCTACATATGGTCATGAGTCGTGAACCATGACTGAAAAGCTTCGAACCCAGGTACAAGCTGCTGAAATGGGCTTCCTGAGAGGAGTCGCTAGTCTTACGTGTCTCGACAAGGTCCGGAACAGAAATCTGCGAGAGCTTTGACGCACAGTCGCTGTTTCTTCAGACTGATAAGTCACAGCTACGATGGTCCGAGAGGGTGTAGCGAATGCTTTCACAAAGGAAGGCTAAGCAACTCTTTCTTGTCCAACCAACAGGCAGAAGGCCCAACGGACGGTGAAGATTAAACTAGAGCAAATATATGGAAGGAGTCTGTTCCAGACTCCGGCTGTGTTCTGTGGAATCTCAAACTCTGGCGCAGGATCAGGAACGCTGGAATCATTGTCTAACGCGCCGGCATCAGCGAGCCAAAAGGAGAAGCGGCCATGGAAGATGAAGATGACGACGTTTATTAATACACAACGAAAGTAAGTTTTAAGCGGGTGATTAACGAGTACCGATATTTCGGCTCATGCTTCGCGGGCCTTCTTCGGGGTGGACAGAGTCAATATATCTACGAGTATATATGCAAGAACATAATATTATGATATGGCATAACTATCGACTGAAAATTCGTTTTCGCGTGGTGACGCGAAGTAGTATCACCACAAGAGTAATTTTAAGCGTCTCAAATCGCAAGAGATAGCGAGATATCACAGTAAACGTGTAATATAGTAATATACAGTCTTATGCATACTTAATATAGTAATCGCCAGTCTTTAAAAGGTTCACTTCGCATATAAATTTTGCTAAACAATCATAAGTCATATAATGACTATGTAGTACTGGCAACGATCCATCAGTCATAGTAATATTGACTATTCTTTACAATGCTTCTACTTTAACAATTAGAAGCAGTGTATACACATTAATACATACGAACACTCCAGATATATTAAAAGAAAAGATAGCGGCTCCACATTCCAGCCAAACACATCATTTCTTTTCAAATGAATGTAGCTCGATGCAGGGAGGTGTAAAGAACCGTATTATTTGGCCGTTCATTTTCAAAACAAACAGTCCTAGTCACTCCGGCTAAAGTGAGGACATGCAAGTGGTGAAAGGGTAGCTCTTCAGTAGGAAGAGAAGGTTGTTACCCACCACTCGTAAATGATGTGTCCGCGACGAAAAATAATCCGTTTCTGTGAATGCGTTGTGCAGAATGAACTTTTGGGAAAGTTCAGAAAATGTTTACCGGGGTAGCACTTGGAACAGAGTGACGAACACCTACTTGCCAAAAACAGTCAAACGATGGAATATAGAAGAGTCGATTAGCGTAAACAAAGACAGATCATATGAAGAATTACCGCCGTATTTCGAGACTATGAACCAAATCCTGTCATTTGGCAGTCACGGCGAATATCTATGAGATGAAAATCAGCAATGCCAAAGCGATTGACCAAACTCATGCGATAATCACGGTCATGAGCTAGTTACGCACAACAATATCCAACTAAAAACTGATGTATTTCATAAAGTCAAACAGTATGGGCATTTTTGTATTCTATTTGAGCAAAACTACGATCCTACTTGACTGAACCCTCCCCTCCCACCTGAAGAAGTCGTTCTCAGTGCAACACCAGCATCACCCCCCCCCACTCTGCTAATTAATAGCAACTGTTTTAAAAAATCGATTAATTACGATCAGATATGTGTAACAAAGCCGCATGTTAAATGCATACGCACCGTTGAACGAATGAGGGCTGCGAGGGACAGATGAAGATTCAACGTTCATGTAACAAGACGCACCGTTCTGATCATGGGTTTGTAGCTTTTCCTTCAAAGAAAAAATTAAATAAAATCCTCGGTATTCGCTTTGTCGAATCGAGCCGAAATAATTTGTTTTACCAGAGAGGAAAAGTTCACCGGTTCGAAGGTGGCACTGCCGTTTTGCGTGGCGCTG